ACTTTGTGGATCGGCTGATTGAGTGAGTGAATGTGTAATTATCGTCTTTGCCGGCGATCCACGTCCATACACAAACACGTACGTACGCGTTGATTCACTTGTATTGATCTCATGGGCGCATAGGGCGTTTCCACTCTGTCCCTGACACCCTGTCTCAAGCAGCCGCGCCTTGGACGTGGACATTTGCGTGTGTAAGCCGACACAAAGTGCATTGATTGAGACATGTCCCGTCAGCATCGATCCAGCTTAAGGGCAGACAGACCTATCACGCACTCACACCCAACGGACGCACATACGCCCTCCCTGCCTGCCTTGCTGCCTACACCCAAGCGGACACCAACCGATAGATGGACACATGCATGTGTGTGCACACCCACCCCCGTCCATCCGTCCATGTGTCATCGGTCGGCCGGTCGTGGACTACAAGGCCACCGAGCGACCGACCCGTCGTTGTCACTGACTGCATTGTCAGAACACAACCCTCAGCACCCAGCCAACACACCAACACACGAAAAACTCACTCATCCATCTGTCCATCCATCCATCCATCCATCTGCCTTCGTTGCCCTGAAAAAGGCATTCACTTGTTCTCCCCTATCTCCCCACGACCACCCGCATGTGTTTATCATGCCTCCCATCAGTCGGCCGCCTTCGTCGCCAGGTTTGCCGCTCGCACTCACTCACAGTCGCCTGTGCATCGACGAACAGGTCTGCCCACAGCGGGTCGGGCAGCGCCGTCAGCCCACGGCCGTCAGGTGGCACCCAGTGGGGCTGCTGGCCCCCAATGAACAGTCGTCTCTTGCCCGGCTCCACCACCTGTTCGGCTGCATATGGGTTGGCCGCCTTGGCTTCTTGCTCGAGCACGACTGAGTGGAGGGCCGGGGCGAGAGACAGCCGGACGGTCGCCGTCTGATTGGGGCTCAAATGGACCTGACACGCATAAGGAAATAACAAATGTGTGTGGGCATGTGCTGTCATCTGCACTTCTCCCTCCGCCTCTCACGCACTCACCCTTTTGAAGTCGGCGAGTCGGATGTTTGGCCTTGGTGTGTTGGTTGGGCTGTCTGTCTGCTCGACATAGAGCTGCACAACCTCGTCGCCTTCCCTCCGGCCGACATTCCTCACGTCAACCGTCACGCCGATTTGCTCACAGGGGGCGTAGGTGGTCTTGTTGAGGCGCATGTTGGTGTAGGCGAAGGCCGTGTAGGAGAGGCCGTAGCCAAAGGGGATGGTGGGCGTGCCGTGGGTGTAGTATCGGTATGTGATGCCATAGGTGGGGACGGAGGGCGCCTCTGGCCGGTCGTAGGAGGAAGGGTAGAAGCTCATGCGGCCCATTGGCGGCAAGGACGTCGTGTTCTCATACCTATGGTCCGTCAACACACAGACACACAAATATGCAACACATATAGGTGAGTGAAACTCGTTGCACTTGTCTCGTTTTCTCACCAAGTGACAGATGCCCGCCCAGCCGGGCTGGTGCTATTGAAACCGAACAGAGTGTAGGCCACAGCCAATCCACCAGCCTGACCCGGCAGCCACGCATCCAACACGGCATCGGCACTCCCCAACACGGGCGAGAGGGTGAATGTGCCCCCATGCACCAAGACAGCCACGATAGGAATCCCGGTGCCCTTTGTGGCGGTCACCACCTCATCGAGCAGAGCGTACTGATTGCGCGGCAGCTCGTAGCTGGACCTGTCGTGCCCCTCTCGCTCGAGGGTCTCGTCCAGGCCCAGAGTGAGCACCACCACACTGCTGCCTTTCACCGCATCGCGCACCCTGTCGAACTGAGATGTGTCCAGGCACTTGACGTTGAGACACCCCAACACGGTCGCGACCTTGCCCCGGCCCAGCGAGCGCTCCAGGCCTTCATGGATTGATACCAGGCCGCGTTTTGGCGTGGTGGTGTAGCCGCCACACAGGCACCTCCCACACTCAGCAAATGGCCCGATCAACGCCAGTTTCTCGATCTTGGAGAAGTGGAGGGGCAGCACGGACTGGTGGTTCTTGTAGAGAGACATTGCCGACAAAGCGGCCTCAAAGGCCAGCTGTATTGACGGGTTCCAGAAGAGCGGGTCCATATGCGGGTGGTGCGGGGGGAAGTCGTCATGTGGAGGGAGGGGGGGAGGGGGGGATGGCGACCAGGGGATGTGCGGACCCAGGGGAGGGATTTGCGAGTTCCACGACACCCAGGAGGGCGGGTCCAGCATGCCCAAACGCAGTCGGACGCGCATCACACGACGCAACGCTTCGTCCACTTGACTGATGTTCAGACGACCTGCGAATACAGAAAGAGGACACAGACGCCGATATAGTGGGCGGTTGTTGTTTGGTGTCGTGTGTCTGGCTGACTGACCTTCTTCGACGAGCAAAGGTATGTGTCTGATGACTTGCATGCCCCCGCCCTCCTGATCCATCCCTGCCTCCAGACCAAACACGGCAGCCGTCGCCCTGTCGGGTGCATAGTTCCAGGTGTCCTTCAGATTCCTCCACGCGTCATAGTCACTGTCATGCACACCATATCACACACACAGAAGGGTGAATGTGCAAGCAGGTGAGCGATTCTGTGTGTGTGTGTGTGTGTGTTACGTACCTGACGACGAATCCATCAAAGCCCCACTTGTCCCTTAGCAGGCCGTTGAGGAGCCGTGGCTCGGCACACGTGGGGATGTTGTTGATGGCGTTGTACGAGCACATGACGTGCATGGCCTTGGCCTCCTTGACACACGCATGAAAGGCGGGCAGGTAGCTCTCAGCCATGTCACGGCCGTCTACACGAGCGTTGAATATCGTGCGATCGCGGGGGATCGTCTCTGCAAAGAAGGAGATGCAATGCGAATCATCTGCGCATGCATCTTCCATTGGCACCCACCCACTCACCGATGTCATATGCAGCGAAATGCTTGCAGCAAGCGGCTGTGAGGGGATAGGATCTGCCCGAGGGGTTGCGGGCTGATGGCGACTGCACGCCCTTGACGTATGCAATGGTCAGCTGCGATGTCAGCAGTGGGTCCTCGCTGTACACCTCGTCGGCACGGCCCCACCTACATGCAGCCACACAGACACACAGACGGCACGGCTGGCGTTTGGTCTCCGTTGGTGTGTGTGGTCATTCATGAGACCGACCTTGGGTCTCGGACGAGGTTGATGTTTGGCGAGTAGATGGTGATGCCGCGGCCGTTCTGCTTCTTGCCACGGTCGCCCCGCCACGTGTAGTAGTTGTATGTGCCCCTCGCCTCCATGGCCATCCGACGCGCCACCCCGTGCACCAGCTCCCGGTCCCACGACGCGCCCAATGCGTTGCCATTTGGGAACGTTGTCGCCTCCTGCACACACAGGCAGCCATGAAAACGAGAGTGAATCCGATGCGGTGTGCGTGTGTGGCGATCGACGTGTTGCTCACCTCTGTCCTGACCCCATGCACGTCATCATTCAGCCATGCGTACGAGGGCAATGACAGGCGTGCGATCTCTGTCGCCTCGTTGGCGAGCTGGTAGGCCTTCTCGGTCACCGTTGCCACCCTCAGGAAGGCCGTGATGCGCCCCTCGTCACTCAGCGACCAATCGAACAGCGTCCCATTGACAGCTGCTTTGCAAGTCCGCAAGTAATCGCTCGGCGAGGACGCGCACACCTTCCGCCCGCCCGGGCACGCGTAGTGCTTGGCTGGACACTGCTTACAGGACAGACAAACTGTTGCCTTTGTCTGCTACTGGTGTTCTGTGGTCTGAGGGAGCAATCGTACCAGATCACAGTCGAGCTTTGAGAGCACGCAGCTGCCGATGCGGCCCTCTGCACATCTCTCAAAAGGCGGCAGGCAGTCGAGGTGTGTGAGAGGGTGCGGCGAAGGCGTAAGGAACCACAGGAGGGCACAAGCGGCAAGGATGACGCCGACCAGTGTCAGCAGCACTCCTACACACACAAAGACGCATCCGTCCATCCATCTCCGTGTGTGTTTCTTTCTTGATTCCGTGTTACCCAGGGCGGACATCTTGAGGCCGCAGCAGATGATCTCCGCCAGCTGAAAATCAGATGTGTGCTCTCAGACTAGAGTGCACAAGTGTAGATCTCTGCCTGCGGCGGCCTGCCTTGCTTCGTTCCGCATGTGCAAGCTTAGCTGCGAGCGCAGGGGAGAAGGCGCAATCCCTTCTTCGCGTTGTGCGAGAAAGCAGATCTGCGACGAGCTTGAGTTGTTGCAACGATGGCACGCATAGAGGGCAGCTTGGGAGCCGATGGCGTCACGGTCAAGTTTGGTCAGCCGTCGGCGGCCATGGCCTTCAGAAGCAGCTTCTCCGGCATGAGTGGTGATGCGCGGGCCAAACTCACATTCGCCATGGGCACTCTGGAGGAGCAATCGTCAAATGAGGTAGGATGGCCAGCGGACAGGAGGAAGCAACCACACGCGCAATGGCATGTTGCTGTTTTCAGATACGTGTGTATGAGGTGCCTCTCCCTGCCCCGAGTGGACGTCCGGTTCGCACGCTGCATAGGGACCCCCCTGCGGCGGTGGCCAGCCAGCCTGATCCTGTCACTCGCATCGTGTGGCAGCCTGACTTTGCGGTGAGCAAGACAACAATCAATGGAAGTCGATAGATGCTTCGCAGTCGGTGCTGTGCCCGTTGTGTTCAGAGGTCATCTGAGCGGCTGATTGCCTCTGGTACGAAGAGACGAACAGAGAGAGAGGATGACAACACATTCATTGTAGTGTTCTTTAGGTGAAGCGTTACGTCTATACGAGTACTCGGACGGCGGGGATGGCGCATCGCTGCGGCCGATACGCGTCTTTCGTCCTCCTCAACTCCACACAGCCAACACAGAGGCTAGCTCAGAGGATTCGTTGCTCACGTCATGTGACTGGAGGTGGGCGTGATGAAGCGACACAACATGTGTGGGTGGCGGGGGAATCGTCTGCATGTTGTGTGTGTGGTGGGTATGCAGCTGGGGCGAGTCGTGGAAGGCGGCTGCTTGTGCAGAGGAGGGAAACGTCACCTTGTTTGACCTCAATGTAAGCACAACACGGGCAGATGAAACAAACAGATACGCGATTACCTGAGCGTCATTCTCGTCGCATCTCTGTCCTCCTGTGCAGCGCGGCGAGGCGGTCAGCACGTTCATCGCCCATCCAACGGGGGTAATAGGTGCACCCAATCATCACATCCACCAAGGTATGTAGGTGCAGCTTGCTTGCTTGTCTTCAGATGGACGATGTGCGGTTCGGCAGTAGCAGTCTTCTCACTGCGGGCCGGGATGGCCAGCTCAGGCACTTCGACCTGCGGTAACTCCATCCGACACCCGGACAAAGACATACAAACCGCACCGCTTACCCTCTTTTGCTCGTGTATTTGTGCAGCACCAAGCCGACGGCGTTCTGCTGCTTGTACAGCAATACAGGCCCCGACGCGGCCCCCAACTGTCGTGAGGGGCCCATCCTGCGCATAGAGACCAACCCACTTGACGAGAACTTTGTGGCGCTGATAGAGCGGGAGGACATGCGCGTGACGATCGTCGATCTGCGCAAGGTCAACAAGCCATTCTGCGCGCGGTCAACAAGCTTCCCCACCGGCATCGCATGGCACCCTGCAAACAGGTGGGCGATTCGCTCATGTACACGGCTCATTCGTGTGTTTGTGTGCCTGTCTGTCAGCAAGCGCTTGCTGAGCACTTACGAGCGCGGCCAGCTGATCATGTGGAGCATCGAGTCCACAAAAGACGCGGAGCAGCACAGAACTAAGAGTGTCGGAGGTGGGGACTTGGTACAGACACATACAGCATGAGGCATTCATTCGAGTAGTTCTGTGTGTGCGTGTGTGGCAGGACTTGGACTCCGTGAGGAGGCCTTCGGTGTGCAGTGGAGCCGTGTGCACACGGACTGGAAGGCCCTCCAGCACATAGATTCTGTTGTGCTCACCAATGCGCTGGCCGACACAGACAGAGACATGGTGAACTAGACAAACAGAGAGTGCGTGGCTGACAGGGACGGAGGGACCGTTGTGTCTGTCTGTCTGTCTGTCTGTATTTGTGTATTTGTCCATAGCTATCATATGTGTGAATCACCGTACAAGCTTAAGTGAGAATCAACGCGTACGTACGTGTTTGTGTATGGACGTGGATCGCCGGCAAAGACGATAATTACACATTCACTCACTCAATCAGCCGATCCACAAAGTGACTGACTGACTGTCTTTGAAAGTGAGAGCCCTGACAAATTCCGTTTACGGACATTCACTCGACACCAGCGAGGGGAGGAAGATGTCGAAGGGAGGTGAGGTTGGGTCGGCGGGCGTTTGCCGCTCGTCGTGCGGCGTGGCCACATCCTCGGCTGGTCATTGCGCGTCGGAGGCTGACATGAAGGCCCTCGCCATCTACATGGACGAGAAGGTGAGCTGCTCCCGTCCGTCACCATCGACGGATGGATGGATGGATGGACGAAAGAGAGACCTCTACAGTACACGGCTGCGGCGGATGGCTGCATCTCTGTCTTTGACGTGTCGTGCAGTTGACGCCGTTTGTGGACGATCTCATCCTCAAGCTGCTCAGAGACCAGCCGGACGACCCCGCCTATGAAGCCATGCTCATCTGCAAAGGTGATGGTCACACACACACAGATGGATGGATGGATGGATGGATGGATGGACAGCCTCCCTCTGCTCTCTCTGTGTGTTAACGTTCAGGTTGTTCGTCCCGTGCTCAGATTGAGGGCGCGTTGGCTGCCCTCGAGCAGCAGCGCGTCAACGAGGAAAACGCCAGACTCAAGAAGGAGTGAGTCAGCTGGAGGGACACACACACAGACAGACAGACACACACAAACACACAGCACCACTGCGTCTTTGTGTGTGTCTGTGTGTGTGCGTGTGGCTGTGTCTTGGAAAGAAACGCACAACTCAAGAAGCGCCTGGCCGCTGTGATGGACACCGTGGCCGCCAACACTCACATCACCGACACCGTCACACAGGCCAAGTCAGACACACACACACACACTCCCAGGAGATGGATGGCTGTCTGTCTGTCTGTGTGTGTCTGTTAGGTCGGAGTTCATTGCAAATATCAAATCGGAGGACAAGTGCGCCACACACACATACAAGTGGCCGCCATGGCCGGGTGTGTCTTGTGTGTGAATCTGGTGGCAGGTTGGTAAATGACAGTTTGGCCATCCATAGCAACAACTGACGCATGACACACACATAGACACATACACACAGAAGGTATGCAATCGACAGCCCGGCCCACCAACATGTCATGGATAATCATTGCAATGCCGCTGTGTGTCTGTCTGTGTGTGTCAGGTTCGCATCTCGTGTACAGTCAAGGCGGCCCATGCCATGGCAAGGCAGGACTCTGTCTGTGTGGTGTGGAGGATGAATATGTCAGTGAGTGCAGTGGATGGGCGGAAGCATGCCGACGTGCTGTCTGCTTGCTGGCTGAGTGCGTCTGAGACAGACACCGATGTGCTCGTGACTCTTGATCGAATGAATGAATGGATGAATGAATGAATGGTCCACACCGTCTCAGCACCACCTCAGCACCAGCAACACAGACACAAAGAGACAAAATAGTGTAATTCAGTACAGACCATCGCATAATGTCAGTCAGTCATAGCAAGCCAGGACAGCTTTGGCGTCAGGCGGATACTCGAAGCCCACCCGGAACTGATGCACCACAAACACCGCATAAGTGACCATCTCACACAATGTCTGTGCGCACCAGGTTGTCGACATTCACTTTCGTGTGTATGTAAGTGTAGTCCGCCTCCACACAAATGCTGCCATCGGCGTCGATATCGAAGGCAACCTCGATGAGCGGCGTGCCGCGCGGGGTCGGTGGGATGCCTTGCGAGTAGAAGCTGCAGAGCAACTTGTTGTCAGTGGTCATCGCCGCCTCGCCCTCGTACACCTACAGTACAACACAGACAACACGCATACGCAACACACATATGTAAATCCAATTGCCACGGTGCAGCAGTGTGTTGTCCACCTGAATGAGCACGCTCGTCTGGTTATCTGAGTCTGTGGTGAATGTGCAGGTCTTTCTGGTAGGCATCGTGGTGTTGCGCTCGACGACCTTGGTCATGACGCCTCCCGCGGTCTCCACCCCCAGTGAGATGGACGTGACGTCCAGCAACCGAATGTCCGCTAAGTGGGGCTCTTGCGCACCGGAAAGCATCGCGGCCATTGCCGCCGCACCGCGAACCACAGTACCGTCAGCAATGGGTCCGATCGGCTGCTTGCCGCAGAAGAAATCCTGTGTATGTAAAACACAACACCACACGAAGGCGGAGGGGCGTGTGTCCTGTCGTAACATGCCTGTCGCCGCTCACAGCTCACACCACACCGTGCCAGCGCCTACCGTGATGAGCTGTTGGATCTTGGGGACGCGTGTGGATCTGCCGACAAGCACCACATCGTCTACCGACTGCTTGTCCACGCCGCCGTCCTTGAGCGCCTTGTCCATCAGCAGCAGGATGCGCCGGAACAAGCGCGCACACAACTTCTCAAAATGCGTACGGGAGATGTCCACTGAGTAGTCGACGCCCTGACGTCGCACACAGAAGATGGGGAAGGGCAAAGCACACAAGCAGGACATCATCACAGTGTTCCTCCCTCCCTCCCTCCCTCTCAATCTCGCCACCTTAAGGAGCTGGTTGAAAACACATCACGCACAAGACAGGGAAGGGCGAAAAAAACACACACACACAAATGACGTCACCACATTTTGCAACCATCCATCCGTCCGTCCCTACCTCAGAAAGGAGCTGATCGATTTCGATGGTGACTTCGGTGACCGAGGAGAGTGCCCGCTTTGCTCTCTCGCATTCTGTGCGCAGCCGCAGCATTGCACGGCTGCCGGTGGTGAGGTCCCTGCCCTTGTTCTTGCCTTTGAAGTCCTGCACGCAAAACTCCACCAACCGGTTGTCGAAGTCCTCGCCGCCGAGTGTGTCGCCCGCTGTGGCCTTGACCTCGAGGACGCCGTCCTCGATTACCAGCAGCGACACGTCACATGTGCTGCCGCCCAGGTCCAAGATGAGCACATTGCGCTTGCCCGTACTCGTCTCGCCCCTCCTGTCCAGGCCGTACGTTGAGAGGGCGGCAGCGGCGTGGTCATTCATCACGCGCATGATCTTCAGACCGCTCCTCGTGGCTGCATCCTTGATGGCCTGGCGCTGCGACTGACCGAAGTGCCCCGGGACGGTGATGACGGCCTTCTTGACTGTCGTGCAGAGGTATGCCTCGGCTGTCTCCTTCAGCTCGGTCAGCACCATGGCCGCCACATCTTCCGGTAAGAACGCCTTGATCTCGCCATGGTGGATCCCCTCGATGATGGCCTTGCCGCCCTTCCCCTTGACGACCTTGAAGGGCCAGTGCTTCAGAGAGAGATGCTGCACAGAAGGGTCATCGAACTTGCGGCCAATCAGACGCTTAGCGGCGATGAGGGGGAGGTCTCTTTTGAACGTGGCCGCAGGCGAAAGGGTGGCGGGGTCATCCTCAGGCTGCTCGTTTGTGGTGACCTTGGCCTGACGCAACACAACCACACACATCCATCCATCGACTCACGAGTGCAGTTGCTCAGATCTGTCTACCGTGTTGCTTTGGAACACGGCGACGCGTGAGTGGGTGGTGCCCAAGTCAATGCCGATGGCAGGACCTGCAGCACCAAAGACAGACGAGGCGAAAGTGAGATGTCTGCCTTCTTCCTCACCCTCGGTGGTCATGGGGTGTGACGGCCAGCCACGACGATCGGCAATGAATGCGAGCTTATACAGGGAGATCCATCCACGACGGTTGTATCTCATGTGGACAGTCTGCTAAGTGCAGTGTTGCGTGGGATTCCATATCTGCTGAACGACTGACTTTCTGAACCAACGGTTGACTGGCAAGCTGTAAAGACGCAAAGGTGTCTGTCTGTCTGTCCAGGGCATCCATCCCTCTGCATCAGGCTCCACAACATACACACGCCTCGCGTGACGACCCAGGCCACACGCTCACTGCCCTATCGTTGCACCCATTCCATCCAGCCGCCAGCAAACCCCTCGCCACGCCAACAACACCGATAAAGTGCTCTTTCTGATCGCCTCACAGTCAAAAAGCACCGACGCTACGCTTCTTATGTATCATCGGAAGGGCGAAAAATGCACACGACACGCGATGCGGCCGGACCGGACCGGACCCCACCGCACCGCATCGCATACATATCAACATCGACGGCCAGCTCGCTTCTATGCCGCCTCGGTGGTCAGAAAGTTCGACACGTCCTCCTCAGTCACCTGACAGCGCACAGCAATGGTATGAGGATCGTGCGGCCGCCTGGCCGTCGGCCCCCTCACTGACTGACTCACTTTGTGGTCTTTGTTGAGCTTCTCCCACATGACGTCCTTGCGCATCGACTTGCGCAGCTGAATGCCCAGCGAGGCGGCGTAGCTCAACAAGTCGTCCTTCTTGATCCTTCTTGCAGCCAACACACACACACACACAGACAGACACACCCCGATAGACCCGGCAGACACAAGTACCTCTATCACACTCACCTGAGCCTCTTGGTGCCCCCCACAGTGGTCGCAGCGACCACTGTGGGGGCTGCGCCTGCCGCCGTTGTCTTCTTGCCGGCCAGAAAGTCCTGCAAAAGGCACACCCAGAGAGCAGATTCACCAGTATGGCCTGTCTGTCAATGGCATGCGACTGACCTTAATTGTTTTCCACATGGCCTTGTGGTCGGGGGCCATCCTCGTTTGCGTCGGCGGCGGGCAGACGTCTGTGGCCGCCAGGATGGCCTCGCGGAGCTGGTCAGCCCCGCCTGTGGGCATCACACCGCTGGACACCAGTGAAGCAACCAACACATACCTACTCACACACACACGCCCAGACAGGCACGGCACACAAGGATATGTTGATAGAAGGCATGATCCTCGCCCGTTTCGGTTCCCCACCAGTGGTGCAGGTGTTCCATCTTGAGGCCCCTCCCAGAAATCTCGATCCACTCGGGAGATGTGGACGGGCCGGATGGCGGACTGTGCAGCACCATCTCGGCCACAAGTGTCGGCAGCTGTGGCCAGTGGAGGGCGTGCTCCAGCTCAATGCAGCTTGCTATCAGCCAACGGGCGTCCGACAATGGGAGCTGCATACATCGACAGGACAAGCGAGAGTGTTGAGATGAGCACATCGAAGGTCGCATGGACCTTCATGGCCACCTGGTGGAAGTGCGGGAGTGTGGCGTGCAGGGCCGTCTTGGCCAGAGCGAAGTCCTTGTGGGGCGCGAGGGCGCCCCACTGGTGCAGCGACTGCACAATCAGCAGAAGATCCGAGGGGGACAGACCACCCTCCAGCAGAGCCACCATCCCGTTCGAGTCCCTGAAAAGCAAACCATAACGAAGGCATAGAACACCCACACGCGCCGTCCGTCCCCCATCACCCTCTTTCCTCTGTTGTGTAAAAGCTTACACGTCTCTCTGGTCCACCAGAAGGCTCAGCGCCTTGCCGGCACACGTCTGCAGTGCCGCCCGGTCGGCCTCCCCCCCTCCCACCACCCCACTCATGGACTCATCCACTCGATCCACGCCACGCAGGAAACGCAGCACATCTGTCAGCGGCACACCAGGCTCATCCATGGCCCTTGTGCCGTCCTCTGTGCGGCTGGTCTTGGCGGCGTCCATGTCGATGTGTGTGGCGGTGGAGAGCATGGCGGCCGCTGACTCGAGGGCTCGTGTGCGGAGGGCGGTGGGCGGCAGCGCGCTCGCCGCATAGATGCCCAAGATATCCCCTACCTCGCCCAGTGTGAACTCGTCGATGCGCAGCAACAGGTGGCTCCCGGCCAACCTGCACACACCAATAGACAGACACAGAGAGAGAGGACTCTCGTGTGATCCGGTCCGTCTGGTTGCCTGTGGGGTTGGTGTAGTTTACCCACCTGAGCACTTTAGCGTCGAATGTCCGCCACGTTTCTGGTTCGTAGCCGCTGTCCTCAATCACGTGTGGGAGGCAGTGGGTGAGGCCCTCCACCAACAGCTGAGGCGGCGCATTGGCGGCCTCGACAGCCAGCTGACATGACAGACAGACAGACAGACAAACACGAGAGCAAAGGATTTCGAGCAATGTGTGTGCTGGTTCGGCTGGTGTGTGGTGTGTGTCATTACCCTGGCGAGCAGCGTCTGCCTCATTGTGTATGAGAGGGTCACTCGGTGCTCGTGGAAGGCTCGCAGCAACAGCGTCACATTGCCAGCGGATATCTTGCACCACCCACAAACCAATGTCATACGAACACCAAACACGTGTCACGCACGTGTTATCGCGATGTCTGTCTGCCCACCTCAGGAACTCTGTCCTCGAGCAGCTCCTCTATCAGCCGGAGGTAGACCGCAAACGGCCCCTGTGAAGCCAGTCGACTTGACCCGCCCGGCACCCTCTCGCCAGCCAGGTGCATCTGAACATCCCATCCACACACCGACACGGACAGGGACACGGCCAGGACACCCTCATGTGTGTGCCCCAATAGTTGGTTGCTCCCTGGCTGTCCGACCTACCAGTCTGGAGTAGAGGAGTGTGGACCCGATGATCTCGTCGGTGGTGTTGGCGGGCGAGGGTGGCGTGCCGATGGCCTCGTATACCAGAGGCTTGTAGGCGATGCCGTGGTGTTGGGCCACTGTGTCCATGATCCGCACCACGCGCCACATGTCGCTCCTCAGACGATCCCGACGCAGCAACGTGAACTGAAGGGAAGGCCCACAGACAGACAGACAGACAGACACAGATCTCCTCTTCCTCCCGACTGACTGACTCATCCCTTTGCCCATACATACGTCGAATAGCTGCAGAATGTGTTCCTTATTCCCCAGCCCCGCCTCGCACAGGTCCTCAATGACGGTCATGACGCTGTCCCAGTCCAGGTCCACCAGCCGCATCCTCGCCATGCACCGCGCCATGCTCGCCCCCATCTGCCACACCCTCGCCGCTATGGCGTCAATCAGCTCCTCCAGCTCGCCGTCTTCATCCTCACCATATGACTCAGGGGGCACCAGGGGGCGACTGGGGAGATCCAGGTCGGCCGACAGCTGACGCAGAGTCTGAGGGAGGGAAGACGCGGAGACAGAGAGGTATGGTGTGTGTCTGTGGGAGTGGTGCCGTGTGTGTGGGCTGCTCCCTCACTCCCTCACTCACCCTGGCGACGTGTTTCATTTCGTGCATGTCGTCTTGGTCGAATTCGGTGGGCAGCATCTCCAGCAGATCCAACACAAAATGAGAATCCGCCATGTCTGCACACCACATCGTGTCCAAGGCAGGGCATACATGAGTGTCCTCTCTAGGGAGGGAGTGTCATACTACCAGCTCTGATCCAGGCATCGATGATGGAGGTGAGTTCCGACACAGTGGCCCCATCGACGTCCACAATCCTGTCACCCACCGCCTCCAAAAAGTACTCGGGGTCCGTCAGCTTCCAACGCACACACGACTGGGACAGAATGCTCGCTATCTGAACACACACACACACACACACACACACTGCCCCATAACATGATGGGATGACACTCCCACACGACCCCTTCCTTCTGTCGTGCTGTCAGACCTCAGCTGAGAATCGCTCTCGTTGGCTCATGGTCCTCTCGAGTGTATCCCACAGCTCCGCCAGCCGCACGTCAGTCTTGAGGTCATCGCCACTGAGGGCCTCCTCCAGCCTGTCCCGCCGCCGCCGACGGCCGCGGTCGTCACTGTCGGTGGCGTGGTACCGCTTCCTCTCCTCCGACACGATGTCCAGGTTGAGCAACGTGCTGATGGCGTACAGCGTGTTGCGCCAGTCAAATCCCTCCGGCACTTGCTCAAACACCTTGATCGAGAAACAGGAGAGTAGAGGGGAGGTGTGTGTGTGTGTGTGTGTGTGGCCACCGCCTGATGCGCCCACCCACCTTGAGGACGTCTTCAGGGACCTCGCACCTCTCGAGCTGCCGCATGACCATGCCGAACTTCTGCGTGGCCGCCTCGGCCGCCTCCCTCTCCTCGGTCTTGTGGTCCGGGAAGAGCTCATCCATCGTAGCCGCCCGTGAGCCAGGAATGCTGTCAGCCAGAGGCAGCACCGGCGACTCGGTCGGCCACAGGCGATCCTCCTCGCCCCACCACCCCTCCTCGGGTGGACCAGATGGGCCCCTCCGGCCGATGGGGAAGCCGTCCTGCGCCCCTGCCATGGTGTCCTCCCATGACAGCGCCGCTGTGTCTTTGCTGAAATCTGGCGAGAGCTTCGACACCGCCAGCAGGTGGGCATCGTCAAACAGAGAGTCCTCCTCATCCAAATCTGCAGACACCGACCGCACCCATTCAATTCAACACATGCTTCGTTGGTGGCCTGGCTTGATTACCAGCCACAAGGTCCTGCCATCTGCCTCCCGACGTGGCGAATGGCGGCGAGACCATCTCCTCGGTCTCCTCGTGGCCCTCTCCCTCGCCGGGCGGACCGGGGCGGCGGGAAGGCATCCGCAGATCCAGCCGATACAAATCATCGCCCGGCACCTGGGAAGAGTGTGCAATCAACGCGCTTGGCCGCCGCATCCGTCTCGCGGCCAATGGTCGAGGGTGTAGGAAGGAGGGCAAAGACAGTGAGTGGGGCGAGAGGCGGAGGGATGACGACAGATGGGACGCTGACGATGCTGCTGCAGCGAGGAGCATGATGCACAGCTGCTGCAGGGCTGTTTGATGAGTCATTGATCTGGCTGTGAAGCAACGCTGGCCTTGTCAGGCGGTCTTCTCGGCTTCATGATTCACTGCACCCTGGACTGCTGCTTCGTCTGCCCGCTTCAAGTTGGCTAGCGTCGGTCCAGGGTTTGGGGTCAACGGGTTTAGCTCGCGCAGATCTGCCACCCGCCTGTCGGCCTTTGCGTGCATCCCTCACCACCAGGATGGCTCCTCCATTAGGTGACGACCCGAAGATCGAGGACTTGGACGACGATGATGACGATGACGACGACGACGTGCCCGAGCTGGAGGACGCCAAGGATGAAGATGGCAAGGACGGCGGGGAGGGCGGCAAGGGCGGCAAGCAAAACAGATCCGAGAAGAAGAGCAGGAAGGCCGTGCAGAAGCTGGGCATGAAGCAGGTCACCGGGGTGGTCAGAGTCACCGTCAAAAAGAGCAAGAACGTCAGTGAGGGAGGGCAATGCACCGGGGGAGGAGAGGGCCAGGGAAGACGCCGCACCTGCATGCTGCGCGAGACACACACAGTCATTTCGGCTTGTGTGGGATTGCGATGTGTGTGTGTGCAGATCTTGTTTGTGATCAACAAGCCTGACGTGTACAAGAGCCAGGTGTCCGACACATACATCATCTTCGGAGAGGCCAAAATCGAAGACCTCAGCGCACAGGCGCAAGGTACGTTTACATGCTTGATGAACTGACCCAAGGAGGTGCCTGTGTTCCACTGCACCCTGTGTGTGTGTGTGTGTGTGCAGCGAATGCCGCCCAGCACGTGACTCAGGGAGCCACACCTGACATCGTCAGCGCTGACATGGTCAGACACCGACACACACTCACAGATCCAATCACGCCCTTGCTGTGTGTGTGTGTGTGTGGTGTGTGCAGGGCGGTGCTCGGGCCGCAGCGATGGAGGGCATGGCCGCAGGCAGCAAAATCGAGGAGGTCGACGAAGGTCAGTCACTCACTCAGCCAACACACACACAGCACACAGCATACCACCTCTGATGGCCTCTGTGTGTGTGTGCAGAGGGTGAGGACGTTGACGAGGCGGGCATCGAGGAGAAGGACATCGAGTTGGTCATGTCCCAGGTGCAGTGCACACGGCCCAAGGCGGTCGCCGCCCTCAAACAAAACAACAACGACATCGTCGAGGCCATCATGCAGCTCTCATCAGAATGATTCATGACCGATCCACACACAGACAGACATCAGACGGTGTTGTTTCCTTTTCCGACGTGTGAGTGAGTGTGTGCATGGCTGTGTGCGTGGGTGTTTGTGTATGGTGTGGTTTTGTATACGGCCGTGTGATGCGAGACGATTGACTGCCTTGAGACTGCGCTGGCCAGCCGGGAGAGTGACCGATGGTTTTAACGATGAGGTGCAACGTGATGCTGTTCACTCTCTCTGCGCGAGGTCCTTCAATCTACTGCCTCTCTCTTCTTTGCGACACCCACACCTCCCTCCCTGTCTTTGCTGTCTTTTGGCCAATGCTTCTGCGGTTCGTCATCCTCTCCGAGATGGCTTCACTGGGCATATCTTATGGAGTAGATGGCGGGCGGGAGGTAGACTGGCAAAAGGCGCGGAGACAGGGGGTGGAAGGGAGCACTTGACCGATGCGACGCGATGCGATTCCCTGCCCACTTGCTCGTATGTATTGTGTCTTCGTGTTACCCGGGTGATGGATGGCTTTGCCCTGCTGGTGGTGGGTGTGTGATCCTGATCCCATTCTCACAATGGAAATGGGAACAAGTTCAACCACCACGACCGGCAGGTGAAGTCATCCGCAAGGGGCATGAAAGCGATGACACGGTTATCGCCTGCCTGCCTGCCGAATGGCTATCTATCCTTTTTGGCCAGGCCTGTGAGCGCCTTTTTCCACCGATGGCGCAGTGACGACGATGAACCATCCCACCCTTCCTGGTGTGCATTCATTCATTCACGCGTTGATGGATTGACTGATTGAACATGTGTATGTCCTGGTGGCTGGGTCTCTCTCACTAGTGACTGCACCACACTCGATGATCATCTTTCACTCACTAACGCCAAAACCACCACCATCAACAAAAACAACCATATCCATCACACACAAAGCCTGCCGACATAACATGAGGCCAATCTATCTATCAGTGTGCCTTCCCTATTTGCTCTGCGCCCTTCTTGTCAACAAACTAGGCAATCACTCAGTCAGTCACTCCATCACCCCCACAGTCAGTCAGTCCACCACTAGCTAAATGCCCCCGCCATGCCCTCCCTGAGTCTCGTTCGTGTACATGTGTGTTACAGACGCATGATTGCAATCGATGCAGAAGAAGAAAGGGGCAAAGGAAAAAGAGAAAAAAGAGTGAGTGGCGAAATAAAAAGGAAGAAGAAATGTCAGTCAACATAGATATCAGACCCTCTTGAGTGACACGAGTGACACATCAGACCATCGCCCTGCTCGCCATTCCCCCAGATGGATGGACGTGTGTGTGTCAAGGATGCCGTCGTGATCAACTCCTGAGGGCACTGATGTTGCCGGTCAGTGTGCCCAGCGCCACAGAGCCCTTGGTGAAAAACACTACCTGCAGGTCGATCAGGTCCGCCATGCGGTCGTTGAGGAACCTACTCGCACACAGATACACACAGGAGAGGCGTGAAGCGCATATGGGCGTGTGGTGCTTCCTCCCTCTCTCTCGATCTCTGTCCGACTTACTTGTTTCGTTGTGTGAGCAGGTGGTTGAGCTCATCGGCGCACTCCTGGGTCAGCACATTGAACTCCTCCTCCAGCTGATCCACACAGATACACACACACACACTCACACACTCACACACCGCACACCACACACCCAGACGAACGGACCGTGCGTACCTGTGTGAGTTTCTGTTCGGCTTCGTTGGTGGCAGCCCTGGCAGGCTGCTCGGCTGCCGGGTCGGCGGGCGGGGCGGACGGGGCCGATGAGGACTTGCCCTTGTTGTTGTCCTCCTTGAGCTTAAAACGCTCACACTAAACCAACACACACATGCATCGATAGCTGGACGGATGTGCTGTGGCGGGCGTTGACCGACTGGCATACCACAGCGTGTTGGTCCTGCATGAGCTTGTAGGCCTTGTCGCGCTTGTCCAGCTTCTTCCTCACTGAACCAACCAACGAACCAACAAACTCTGCCCTGCCCATGGCATGGCTGAGTGTCTGTGTGTTGTGTGTGCTGTGTAGCTACGTACCGTTTTGGATGAGCGCCTCCCGGTTGGTAAGTTCGAAGGCCAGCTGCTCAGCCTTGGTGTGCACATCTTGACCTGACGTGAGAGGCGGCAACATGCACATGCATCTGGCGTCTTGTCCGGCCGTCTGTGGCTTACGGTCGGTGCCCAGGGCCACATACGCCTCAGCATACTTAGCAGCAGCCACATCCAGCTCGTTATTGGCTGATCCACCACAGCAACACAAGACAACGCAAGGCAACCTCGTGTGCGTGTCTGTGTGTTGGGGGTCACCCACCTTTGACGAGGTTGAGTGCCGTGTGCAGCCTGGCGGGCTGCATCTCGCCCGACGCGTTCATGAACTTGGTAAACAGACCCGACTCGAACTTGAGTGCGGCAAGGGCGCCCTCGTAGGCCACCAGCTCCTCTCGCTGAGGACTCAACACATCGTCCTGCATCCATCCCATGCCATGCAGCCACACAGACCAACACCGATGAGCGCACAGCCACACCGTCTCTCTGTCTGTTGGTGTGTATGGGTGGTGTGGTTGGTGTCTGTGCTACAGGCAGGACTCACTCACCGGCACGGGAGGGAACTTGCCCGCTAACTTCTGCTCAACTGCAGGCAGAAAGGGGATGACACGACACACACCCGGTGTGGTCTCCTCTGTGTTGTGTGGCATTCCTTTCTTACCGACTTCCACGCCCTTGTGGACGGCCTCATCGATTTTCTTGCCGGTCTCCTTGCCCCATTCCGCCGCCTTGCTGCCGGCTTTCTGCAGACAGACGAGATGCGTGTGCGCAGACAGACACAATTGTGACCACTCACTAGCTGCCTCTCCCCCTAGTCTGGGAGTGCGTGTGTGGTACCCATCCCTACTCACCTGCAGCCCCTCCCTGGCCTTCTGCAGCCCTTCCTTGAAGTTGAGGTTCATCGATGAATGTCGGGATGTACCAGAGGGTGAATGATACCGTGAGAGTTGGAGCGCCCCTTTTCTTCGCGCCAGATCTGCAAAAGCTCGCCTCTGAGCTTGCGCTTTGGAAGAACGCGAAGGCATCACGCAGCCATGGGACCTTGTCATCGCTCGACCTTCGACAGATCTTCCTTCTTCTATAGCCACAAGCACCACTTTGCGACGTCCTTTGCGTATCCGGCTGAGCCGATGAGGTGATGCCAGGCGGCAGAGAGCCTCGGCGTCACTGATGGAGCGTCATCCTCTCCCAGCTTCTGTGGAGCGACTGAAGGAGAGAGCCGCAGCGCTCCCCGACAAGGCAGCGCGACTGGCAAGGGGCCGACAGCTGCTGGTCAACTATCGCCGGAGGAAGGACCTGCGGCTCCTCCCGGCCGACCTACGAGATGACCGCGACGCCCTCTCCAAAATCCTGGACCGCTATCGGCGCGTTTCGCCCCGCGCATCACCGGCGCCCTCACCCACTGCCGACCACCACCCCCAGTCCGACAGAGAGGGTGGGAGTCCCCAGACGACGGCCGAGCTGTCCTCGCCCCCTCCCCCCATCCACGTAGAGGACAGCGTGTCGCCGGTGTCGGCGTCTTCGCGCGACAGGAAGAGCACCGATGGGCCGCAGACGTCTGACACCAAGGCCGCTAGCGGCAGCAAGATGACGGCGAGCGACGACTCTTCCTTCGGCGGGGGCAGGCGAGTGAGTGTGGGCGGCTCTCCGCTGGCGACTCGTCTGGAGGAGCTGCAGCTGAAGCTGGCGGTGACGAGGGAGAGAAACGCCTTCCTTGAGCCATCCCTCGAGCAGGCGCAGGAGACCATGAAGAAGCTCACGGAGGAGAGGGAGGCCCTGGCAGCTCAGGTCAAGCAGCTGACGGCAAAGGTCGACAACCTGCACGCCGAGAACCAGCGGCTCCACGCCGACCTCCGCGACCGGAAGCTCACCGAGTCGCAGAGCAGCAGCCAGGCGGCAGTGCTGTCACACGCCGTCAAGGACATCTCCTCCTACTTCGCCATCGCACACGGCTCCCCACCCTCATGGAGCCGGCAGACCTCAGCAGCCACGCCCGGACAGCAGCGGGCGGATCACGGCAGAAGGGGTGGCAGCGATAGATGGGACAAGTTGGACAGTCTCGTGAGGGGTGCGTTGCGTCACAGCGAGGGCGTGCCGCTGCTGAGGGCGTCGCTGGCTGCGGCGCAGAAGGAGTTGGAGGCCATGAGGCGCGAGTGGGAGGAGGCTGTGGGGACGGGGGGGAGGGCGGGCGGTGTGAGAGATGGGCCTACTGCCGACGATAGCCAGCTGCGGCAGGAGATGGAGGCCATGCAAAAGTGAGATACCTGCACAAGCGGGAGGGTACACATTCTCACACGCATCTATGGATGGTTGGATGGATGTATTGGGTGTTGTCGTCACGGTGTGTTTCTTAGGCACATAGCCCGTCTGGAGGCCAAGATGGATCTGCACCGCAATGAGATACGGCTGCTGAGCGAAGAGAACGAGAGACTCAGGACAGCAGGCAAACAGACAGCCAAGTAGACAGACAGACAGACGGACGGACGGGCCATGTCGGGTCCGTCTCGTCTCTGTGCATACATACCCAGCGATGTTTGAGTCCATGGTGTGTATTTGTGGGATGCTGACGAGTGGTGGAAGGAAGATTCAGCTGTGGTCTGATGGGCTGGTTATTACCGCTGACACGTGCACGGCGTCCGTTCGGGAATGGAGCCATTCCCTATCGGAGACCAGGTGCTGTGACGGTGGAAGGTCTGCGCTGCCTGCCCTGGACAATGGCCGTCTCTCAGGATGAGCTAACTGTGCACGCCGTTCATGGCACGCATGGGTGGATCGATAAATGCATGGGCTGAACGCACAAGATCCACACACACTGGCTTCATCATCTCCATCCATACCACACTCACGGTCAGTCACCACATGCACTGCACTGCCTAACCTCACTCACTCGTCAGTCATTCCCCCTTAATTGCTTTCGCCGCCCCCGTGTCCACAGCGAGCAGCTCACGCAGCGCCATGGTCAGGTAGGCAGAGGGCGGCAGCACGCACTGCATTATCACTGCACCCTTACCGTCCAACACATCACCCCCACCCGTACCCCTCGCCATCTCCTGCCTCTCTCCAGGGCCGTCAGCTGCACCATCAGCACCAGCAGGGGCAGGGCTGTTCGTGGAGGGCAGCAGTGTCTGGTCCGCTCGCCATCTGCCGACCTGCCGATCGACGGCAGACGTCAGCAGGGGGACGGACGAGTCACCCACCTGCTCATGAGCAGCAACACGAACACCGAGGAGGGTGATGCCTGCCTGTGGCTGGATGTGTGTGAGTGCGTCTGTCTGTCCCACTCACTCGCTGACCTTAGGCACGTAGAGCCACTTGAGGTCTCGGGGCTTGACGCAGATGTGTCGATAACCGCCAGGCAGATTTCCCCACATATGCGCAATCTCCTGCACCACACACACACATCCATCACATGACACGTGCAATCCTGAAATGCCAACACGCCCTACCCTACCCACCTTGAAGTCTTCCAGGTCCAGCCCCAGCTCTTCCTTGACCACTCGCCGATACTCGCCCTCCAAGATGGTGGGGTACCGCACTGACGACCCTGGCAAGGGCAGCACCACCTGCTCCAGGCTACAGGACGCCGCTGCGTCAGCCGTCGACAGAGGGGTGACGTCTTGGGGGGCAAACGACTCATTCTCGTCAGTCTGAGCATCGTCCTCACCTGCAGGCAGCAGCCGAGGGGGAGGATTGGATTGCACAGAGACAGACCCATGCGCTTTCTCCCGTTCTCATACCTTCCTCCTGATCAGCATCGTTGTTCTCATCTTCGCCATCACGCCCCTGCTTCCTCCTGAGCCGCTCTGCACGCGAATCAAAGGCACTTGTGGCCCCCACGAGGTCGCCCACCACTGGCCGCTTCCCATGCACACGGATGCGGTAAGACAGCAGCTTGTTAAATACCAACGATTGCACGCTGTGGACGTAGAGAGATAGGGTGTGCCTTGGCAGCTTCTGCAGGCACTCCAGGAGGGGCCGGTCGGCCGCCAGCTGCTGCAGCAAAGTCCGCTCGATGTGCAGGTTGGGGGGGAGGGATGAGAGGTCCGCCTTGGCGCTCTCGGGGGACTCATCAGCCAGGTATGCTGTGGCGGTGAAGTGACCGAGGGCCTTGGCGTCGCTGTCGAGACGTCGCTTCTTGGCCGACGGCTCGGAGGCACCATCAGCACCATCCTCTGACACCACCATCTGCACACAGGAAGCAAGCACCACACGCCCTATGCAGTCAGCTGGGGTGTGCTCCTTCCTGCCCTGCACACACCAACCATATCGTGATCTCCAAGTATGAGCCGGACCGCCCTCCTCCACTGCTGCCCCAGCAGCGCCACGCCCACGTGGTGTGTTCGGATGTGGGCAGACGTCCCGAACCGCTGCAGACCAAAGTAGTTGAGGAACCCCATAGTCTGCAGCTCCTCGAAGGCCTGCTCGATGGGCGGCGGGGGGCTGTTGGCGTTGGGTGAGGGCGGCACTCCTCGCAGGACGACGCGGAAGAGGTTGCCCTGGAGGTCGCCAAGGCAGATCTTGTTGTTGGTGTAGGAGAGGTCGCCGATGCGAAGGCGGGAGTCCCACCTGAGTGAAGCCAGATGCCGGCATCGGCCTGTGCTGTGCTGTCTGTGTTTTGCTGTGCTGTCCGGTTTGTGTGTTTGGCTCACTCACTTGCGGTGGAGGATGGCCCTCTTAATCTGCTCGATGGTGACGCCCCGCACCGCCACCCTCTGCACCGTGATGGCCCGCCGGTCCTTGGTGCCAGCGAAGCCACACTGCTTCCTCTCACGCCCAACGCACTGAGCCAAGCAGCCGATGGCCTCTGCCGTGTCCCTGTTCTCCTTGTACAGCGACAGCTGCACCCACTTCCCCTCAGCACGCGATGACCTCCTCTCGCCAGCCGACTGGAAGACGCTCGGTGCGCTGCTGCCGCCTCGGTGGTCCCTCCCCCTCCCCCTCCCTCCCCTCCGCTGGAACTTCTCGCGCTTTTTCTGCCTGTCGGACATCTCCTGCACTGGCGCGTCTTGCTCATCCGCCACCTGGCACTCCCTCGGCACCAGAGCCCTCAGCAGGGCCGGCTTGGGCGTCAGATCCACCTCCAGGCTGTCTGACCGCCCGCTGGCCGCATCGCTGGCCCGCACTGTGTCGCTGTTGATGAAGGGCAGATGCTCGCGAACCAGACGATGGCACTCCTTGCGGACCTCTTTGATTGCTGAGTCAGATGGTTCACTACCACTATCACCATCAGCAGTCGACTTTGGTGAGTTGAGGGCGATGCGGCAAGAGGGGACTATCTGTCGTTGTGTGGCTTCGTCCCGGGGCAGGCCTTGATGGAGGAGAGAGGGGAAGGAGCGGATGAAGGACGTCAGGCTGGCGAGGCTGGCGGCCGTCACGCCGATAGACGAGAAGGCGCCCTCCGCCTGCGGGCTCAGCTCGTACGCCTCGAAATCGACACCTGCAATACGCAGAGATGCATTAACGGACGCCTCTCGCTTTGCTCTCTTCTTCACTCACTCACTGACGCACCTCTGCCGGCCTCAGCGTCGCCCTTGTTGGTGAACTCATCCACCACCGCCTTCCTGTCCAGCAGGTCGTTGAGCCACAGCGTCCGCCCCTCCAGGTCAATCTCGTGAACGTGGAAGTCCTCGTACCGGTGCTTAAACACACCTGGGAACCCCTGGTGGCTCCGTAGCTGCTCGGTCATGCCCGCATCTCTCTCTCTGACGGCTGTCGTGCCGTCCATTGTGAAGGGGGAGGGCCGCTGAGAGCACTGGTGTCGACGCACAGGACGAACCTGCGGAGATCCCTGCGCCAGGCGCACAAGCCACCGATGAAGGGAACGAATCTTTCAAAGCCTTGTGACAGAGATCTGGCCACTATAGATCATCCAGGCACAGTCCCGCAGAAGATCTGCCCTCGACCCAAAGCTCGCATTGCAGGTGCTCGAGAGTGCTTCCAGCGGCGCGTTAATGTTCTCGTCGGACGGCTGTTGGTGTGTGCTGACGATTCTCAACAGAACTCAGTGATTTGATGAGTCAATGCAGTGCTGTGTATGTGAGTTCGCAGCATTCGACACTCGAAGCATCAAGTTTCAGAGCATCCACTGAAACATCCATCGTCTTTGTCGTAGTCAGTCGCATCGATGCACGATGAAACCCCATGCACGCCACGCACACAAGACGATTTACCAATAAGTCACGCACAGGTGTGTGTTGTGCTCTAGCTGCAGCTGTGTGGCGGCGTCGGTTCTGTCTGTCGACATCAAAACCGCCATCAGCCGCCATCCTCCGCCGGGCCATTGACAGAGACAAAATACACACACCCAGCAGCACATACCCATGAGCACCGTCAAAGACTAAACTCGACAAAAGGTTCATCTCATCGACCAACCCAGACACTTAGTTAGTAGTTGAGGCATGCCGTCTCTCTCCCTCTCTCTCTCTCTCTCTTCCATGCCATCCATCCATCCGACAATCACATGCAGCACAAGCAAGCAGCTATGCACACAAGCTTGACAAACAAAACCGAGCCAGCAATACGCTGACTGGGCGTATTCAGAACCACCCCCTGCGGCCGCTGAAGCGTGATCCCCAGCCGGTGCGACCGATGTGCCGGCTGCTGGGACGGCTGAAGATGCCGCCACTGAACCGGGACCGACTCCTGCTGCCCACACGGACTGCCAGCACACACCAACCAAACCACCGGCCAAGAGAAAGACAGTCGCGCGTTAGGACAGTGCATGTGTTGGTGTCGGTGGCTGCTGCTTACATCCTCCCCCGCCCATCACGAGGCCCAGGCGGCGCCTGCTTTCGTCGTCATCGGCATCTCCGGCCTCCTCATATTCGAATTCGCCACTGTCGATGACTGCGCCCTTCTCGTCGACCAACGAAAACTCGCCTGAGTGAACGGATGCCAGAGAGGAAGTGCGTGTCGGTCTGAGTGTATCTGTGGCTGGTGTGTGTTCGCTCACCAGGCTTTGTGATGAGTGTGTGTCCGAGTGAGAGGTGGAGCTCAGTCGTGTTGGTCGTCAGATCACGGAAGACGCCCTCAATGTTGTAGACACGCTCAGGGGCCCTGTCACCCAGCTGACAGCAAAAGGGAGAGGGACACGGAGAAAAAGGGATACCCATCCGCCACTCAGTGTGGTGTGTGCCTTCCATGCCCACGTTGATGTGGAGGGACTCCATCTTTTGGATCTCGTCGAGCGGGAGGAAGGCGAGGCCCTCCAAAGGCACACTGTCGAGTGCCTCGCTGAACCTCAAAGGCATGCTGTCCTTGCGGCTGACCAGCTGCTCGTCGTCGGACACCGTGATCTCCTTCGACACTGACAGACACACACGGCACACACACACACAGATGGACGCCACATCCCTCCCACTTGCTGTCTGTGGCTGCGTACGCTGGATGGCGGCCAGCATGAGGCCGAACACACACGCGGCGGTCAGGACGATGGCGCCCACGACGGCCAGCACTTTGAGTGCGGTGATGCGCTTGGGCTTCTCGGTGGCCAACGACACCTGGGGGGCCTCCAAATCACAAACCTGCACACACCAGCAGCACACAGACAGACAGACAGATAGGCAGACACACAGGAGGTAGGGATGGTGGCGGTGGGCATCAGGTTGGGTGAGAGAGCCATGTGTCAGTGGTCACCTTGCTGCCGATGGGCTGCTGGGCGGCGGAGTGGGCCATGGCGACAAACAAACGAGATGGCTGACGAGGGGAGGGACCGACAGCGACTTCGGGCAGAAGAGTGCTTGGCTGGGATTGAAGGCAGAAGTTGGTTTGAACCACAAGGAATGGGATGACAGGAGGATGGCGGCGGCTTTGGCGAGGCGGAGGGGAGGCGTTTGGGAGGGGTAGATGGCGTTCAACCCTTCAGCCGTTGATCGACCGTTGCTGGCCGCGGCCAGCCTGCTCGAGAGTAGCGAGTTTCCGGCAACAACACTTGATGTCATATGTACAGTCGCATACATACGAGTCACTCCCACACGCACGTCCACATCACGTAGGCATCCAGTTGGATAGCCCTTTGTTTAGATAGCCACACGAAGGCGCGGGCACACAGTCACAGACACACACACGAAGACCTCTCACCTTCCTTGCTCATAATCAACAACACGAAGAGCAGGAAGGAGCGTATCGACAAAACGACGGCCGCAGGAGCGTATCGACAAAACGACGGCCGGCACACACGTCAAAGACTTTCACACCTCTCTCGTCGTCTCTATCTATCTTCCTCAGACAGACAAGACACAACACGACGAAAAACTTGTCTATCGCATCGGGGCATCATCGCACGCCAGTCGCCCTCCCTGTCCTCTCCTGTCCTCCATATGCCGCGTCGTCGTTGGGTCGGCTCTGTCGTCATCTCCTAGACTTGTTTGCGCCGAGGATGTCTTTGCCCGAGGTGGGCTTCGGTATGAATTTTGGGGGTCGGGGCCGCTTGATAGGCACAGCCGGGCGAGTGTTGCGCGGATCTGACAAACACACACAGACGATAGAAGCCATCGGCTTGTGCGTGCGCCCCTCCCTCCCTCCGTCCCTCTCCCCGGATTGCGTACAGCAGGTGAATACTCCTCGTGTGCTCCACTTGCACTCGCCCGAGCAGCACTGTGAGGTGAGTTCGCATCGGCCCCCGGTGGCAGTGCAGGCCGGGTTGCGCGGGTCAGGGACGTCCCGCGGCAAGGTAGGGGACGGAGGGGCAGCGGGGCTGTCGCCGCTGTCGGAACCTGCACACACATACACACACACACACACACACAAGTGCAACCAAGACTGCAGTGGCCACACGTGTGGCGGGGTGGGCCGGACAGGCGGTACATTGCTGCCTTGGTGTTGGCGCACCTTCAGGGCAGAGGAGGCATGACGACGCAAGGCAGCTCTGTGTGCCGCTGGTGCAGTACTCGACGACACCTGCGATCACCAAACGGACAGGCACAGTCACAGTCAGCGGACCTGCGGCGGTCACCGTTGTGTGTACCTGAGCAGAGTCGGCCTGTTTTGCACTTGCAGGCCGCCTCGGAATTGGTGCACGTCTGCTGCGCCTGGGCCACCAGCACCCAAGCTGAAGTGGCGAGGACCAGAAGCAGGAAGGCCTTGCCAGTCACCATCTTGGCCCTGCGGACGAAGGGACGGCTGGACGGAACAAGGGCAGCACGGAGGGGCCGGGGGGAAGGGGAGAAAGATAAAGGAGGAAAAGACTGCAAACGACCGAACAAACGGCTGATTCGATCCACGAGACACGACTTTTTCAGTGCTGGGAGCTGGCACCCACGGGCACAGAATCATCTGCATCCGGCCACCACTGCGGATCATATCAGCCGGCTGCAGGACCGAATGCGTTCATTTGCAAAGCCTGACGAGTCTTTCACCTTTTTGAGGGCTGAAGACGACAACTGAGGACTGCAGCACTCACCGCGGGCACTCGAGGACGCCACAGATGGTTCAAGAGGCAACTTGAATGCGCGGGAGTCGTGTGAACGAACGAACGATCAGTGCGAGCTTCGTAGCGACAGTTTTTGACTTTCGCGTTGCTTTTGCTCGTTTCTAGGCAGCGGGCTCTTTGCAATCGCTACCCGTTCCGCTGTGCTTCCGCGGAGCTGCTGCATGCCACCCGGCCAGAGCCTCAGAATTGTGCATTCTCTCGTGTGAGTGAGCCGTCGAGGCATCCCATCCGTCAGTCATGTCGGCAGGGGAACTGGAAATGGGCTGGTCACAAGACCCGACCATGTACACCAAGTACCACGTGTTGACGACGCTCGGCAGCGGAAGCTACGGCAAGGTGGTTGAGGCCGTCAAGAAGGCGGCACCGGGAGCTGCCGGCGATGGCGCTGGTGCCACCGAAGGTAGCGCTGCGTATGGCAGCACCAAGAGCAAGAAACACACTGAGGAGCACAGGGCCATCAAGCTCCAGGTAGGTACAGACGCACACAGGGGGAGGCCGAGGATGGGATGCATGCGTTGACATGACGGGGATCATGGGCTGGTTCTTCTTCTCTGCCGTTTGTGCTGCCTGCAGGACTTCTCCACTTCTCGCCCTGGAATCACCGAGGAGCAGCTGCGCGACGTCGTAAGCCGACCCACCACACACCACTCAGACAAATCAATTCACACCACATCAGGCACCATCCCCCATCCCCCACCCCTGTGTTGTGTGTTGTGTGATGTGTTGGTGTGGTGGTGCAGTCGATGTTGCAGATGATGGATCACCCCAACGTGGTCAAGGTGTACGAGTCATGGCTCGATGCTGAGCAGCGCCGATTGTACATGGCCATGGAGCTGGCTGCACACGGCGACCTCTACCGCTTCATGCGCAACGTCCGCAACGTACCCGACCCCGACAACCCAGGACAGACCGTAACCACACACACACAGACAGTGGGCGGACGGATGTGAAGATGTGGTGTGGTGTGTTGCAGATGGAAATCTACGTGCGCAAGGTGTTGAAGCCCAAGCAGGTCAAGCGTTTCATGTTTCAGGTAGGTGACGACCACCACACCACACCATACGTCCACCTGTGTGTGTGTGTGTGTGTGTGTGTGTGTCAGATTTTGTTGGGTTTGGCCTACATGCACCTCAAACGTGTGGTGCATCGCGACCTCAAGGTGGGTCGCTCACACAACACAAGACAAGACCCACACACAGGATGCCACACCCCTCACACACATGTCCCCTCCTCCCGTCTTGATGCTGTTGGTGCGTGCAGCCTGCCAACATCCTGGTGGCTGGCAGGAAGGGCCGGTACGCACGCACACACACGCGCGCGCACGCACCCCAAACAGGAAGCCTGAGATCATTCAAGTGCTCCGGTTGCTGTGTGTGGTGTGGTCGACAGTGAGTTGCTGAAGTTGACGGACTTCGGTCATGCCCGGCAGATCGAAGGCTGGCCACTCATGAACCACTCGGTAGGTACACATGCCCACTCCACCACTCACTGAACACCACAGACGCACCAAAACCCCGTGTGTGATGGTGGTTCGTTTGTGTCAGGACCCCAAGTATTTGGGTACGTCAGGTTACCGCGGCCCTGAGTTGATCCTCGGCATGCGAAAGTACGGCGGCGGAGGCGACATCTGGGCCGCTGGTAGGTAGACCCTGACTGACCCACACACCTACCCACAACACTTCACCTGCCCACACACGCTTCGTTTGTGTGTTGTGTGTTGTGCGTTGTGTGTCAGGGTGCATCTTCCTGGAGTTGGCGACCGGCGCGCGGCCCTTCCGCGTAGGCAAAGACACACACACATGCGCAGAAGGCCGGTGTGTGCATGGTCCATCCCTCTCTCTCTCTCTCTGTGTGTGTGTGTGTGTGTGTGTGCAGGACAGCACCGAGTACGGTTCGTTGATCAAGATGATTCGCGTGTTAGGTTTGCCGCCTAAGGAGGAGTTGAAGAAGCTCAACATGGAGACGTACAACCGCATGGTAACTCCCTACTCACCTGCACACACACACACACAGCCATCCATCCATCCATCTCTATCTCTCTCTCTCTGTGTGTGTTGCGTTGGATGTGTGTGCATTAGTGTCACACGTTGCCGCACGTGGCCCAGAAGCCCCGCGATGAGGTGAAGACCGCCCTGCGTGAGGTCATCGACGACGTGCGGGTGCCAATGCCCGACGACGAACAGTTCAGCCTACTCTTCGAGTCCGTGAGCCCCCCCCCCCGCCCCTCCCCCACA